CCCTAGCAACGGGGTCCCTGTCCCTTTAAGGCTTCCAAAAAGCACCCGCCAAAAAAAAAAAAACGCTCCGGTTTCTTTCCATCTGCTGGGAGCTGGGGGGAGGGGCGCTTGGGTTCCTCTGGGCCGGGGCTTGTATCTTACCGCCTTCGCAAGGCGCTGGGTTCTTGCAGGTGTGGATGTGGTCTGGATGTTGTCCTGTGTCCTCTGGTCTCTATTTTAGGAAGATTTTTCTTTGTTATATTTTCATAGCTCTATGTGTTTTTGGGAGGAGATTTTCACTGCTCTACTCACGCCGCCACCCTGGCTCCGCCCCTCTATCCTTTTAATGGCCACCTTTACATCTTTACCATTCATACTTGATAAAATATAACTAATATTTCTCTTCCCCAAAATGCAGAGAGCCTAAGTTACCATCTGGTATCTCAGTCTTAACCTTCTTTAGCCATGCAGGCATTATCATTTAATTGTTATTTGGATAGAGTTTGTTTTGATTTACATATCTGTTTACCATTTTCTCTTCTCACCATTTTTTGCATTTCAAATTCATTCCTGAAGTATCTTCTTTGAAAGGTCCCCCAGTGTAGTAGCTCAGCTGATGGTAAAGATAGTTTCAATCCTGTCTGTTCTAGACAATTCTATTTGTATTCTATTCAGTCCTTTTCAGTCTAGACAATTCCAGACTGGCTCCCTTAGCACTTGGAAGATACTATGCTGCTGGGTTTCAGTTTTTTGTTTTGACTCCTATTGTTCTTGTTAAATCTTCTCTTAGCCAAAGGGTGTTCCTTGGCAGTAATCTGTCTTTCTCTGTTACTTCTTTTAACATCTTTTGTTTGATTTTGTTTTTCTATAGTTTCACCTTTATACATCTAGGAGGAACTTGTTTTTTGTGTTTTAATTTATCCTGCCTGGTGTATATTGTGTTTCTCTTACCTGTAGATTTATGTCTTCCCCCATTTCTAGAAAATTCTCAGCCACTATCTCTTACATTTCCTCTACTCCATTTTTCTCTCTTCTATTTCTGGAGTTCGAGTTAGCTGTGGGTTAGGCATCCTCGCCCTCCATTCATGTCTGGGAGATCTGGGAGGCATTCTGTCTGCTTGTGTCAACTGCGTTTTGAGCTCTGTCTGGAGCTCACTAGGACCCTCTGCACTTGAATCATTTTATCCACTGAGGCATTTTTTTCCGCCTTTGCAGCCATTCTGTTTTTTATTATTAAAAGGTCTGTTTGGTTCTTTTAGAAAACTGCCTGGCGGTTTTTGATGGTTTCTTGCTACTTATATTTTGTGATCCTGACTTTGTTTTATTCACAGTTTACTGTCTGCATTTGCTGATTCAGTGTCTGAAGTATTAATGGCTCTAAGTCTTGTTATTTGTTATCTCTCCTAATTTTCATTCGTGATGGGTACTTTCTTGTGTGTTAAATCACTGACCTATTATTTGCTCTAAATTAGTAGAAAATTGTCAGCTCTGAGAATGATTTACTCTGAAGAAGATTTGCATTTGGTTTTACCTCCAACCTGAGACTACAGTAGCCTCTTTGCAGGACCTCTGCCTTCTGGGAATGCCAAGTTCAGTTCTCCCTCCTTGCTGCCTCCTGCAGCTGGCCTCCTCCCCAGCCAGCCCCCTTCCTGTGCTGATATCCAACCACCCCATGCTTCTCATGCTGATATTCAGGCTCCAGCTTTGGGGTATTTTGGTTGCTTTGCTTTGCCTTGTGGAAATTTTCCTTATATCCTATGAATAACACACACACACACACACACACCCTATCTGGTCCTTTTCTAGTATGAAGACCTTCAGAGTGTCTCATCAACCTTTCTCCTGGAAATAGAGCTTCTGAAGCATGTTTAAAAAAGGAAAAGGAAGGAAGGAGGCAGGGAGGAAGGAGAAGTAATACAATCCCAAACATTTGGGCAATGAAGATGAAGGAAAAAACCTGTTAAGTGCGGATCCTACCACCCAAACCAGCTCTTGAGCTGAGACCTAAGGTCAGAGCCAGCATTAACGAAATAGAGCCAGTGAAGAGGTGGGCAGCCTGAGCGAGGGAAGGCTAGAGAAGGCGGGTCCTCCTCATCTGCACATTCCCATTGGGCAGACACTCTTTTGGGAAACATTTGACTACCTGAGCCTTGATGGGACTATAACTTGATTTTAACTTGTTTTCAGTTCTCTGGAAAGTTATGTACAATATATCCAAGGAAATATTTTTAAACACAGATAAATGCTGTTTATATTGTCTTTCATGTGATTTTATTGGCATTCCATATATGAATGTTATCGTTCCTTCTCTTAATATCACAGGACAAGGCGTAGATGTGCCGCTTTCAGAAACTGGCTTTAAACAAGCAGCTGCTGCTGGTATATTTCTTAATAATGTGAAGTTTACTCATGTTTTCTCCAGTGACCTCATGAGGACAAAACAGGTAAGTTCAGAGTCACAGTTTAGGCTGAAGAGTCAAGTTGTTAGTAGTTGTAACCTTGAAAGATCTGCTACCAGAGTCTGCAGGGAATTCAGCCTCACACAGATGTCACCCCTCCCCTCCCCGGGACAGACCTTACTTCTCTTTTCAGTTTAGTTTTGTACTTCATTTTATTTTGGTAAATTCTAGATTAGAGTAGCTTGGGGAACATGTCTTACAAAATGTCTAAAAAAAAAGACAAAGATGGTTTTACAAGAGAGAGTCAGCAGGAACACCAGACAGAATTTAGCCCACAGAGACATCAGATATTGGAATCCAGATCCAGTTAAAAAAGGAAAACAACTACATTACTATGAAGAGAAAAAAATATGTTTGAAATACCTTTAGGCAATGGATCTCTATAAAACTCGCCCCAGAGATTTAAAACAAGAACCAAACCAACTTCTAAAAGTTCTATGGAAGGAGCCTCTTGTGACGACCACGCTGGGGTATGAGGGTCGGGATGGAACCTCCCCGCTGTAAACAGCTTGAAAGCAGGACAAAGTCTGTGGGACAACTGTCCACAGACATTGGTGCTCAGGCCACGTGGGCCTGCGACCCCCGAATGAAGTGAAACATATGAGGTGCGCCCTCCTATTGGCCTGGTTTTCCTGCTGGAGCAATTTCCAAGTTCTGGCAGGTGAATCCAGTGGAGCCCAGTAGTCTCAGTGAATTGAAGAGACATAGCTTGGAATTTGTGGAGGTTAAATAATAAAATTTGTGAGGCAGAGTATTGGGAGAGGGCTGCACAGAGAAAGAACTCTGGGGACGTGCCTAGGGATCCCTCATCTTTGGTGAACTGTGAACCTGCACATGTGGAGGGCGAGCTGCGTGAGGCCAGGTGAAACACAGCTTCAGGCGAAACACAGAGCAGGTCCCGGAGTTCACACCTGCCAAGGGGAGAGACTTGTTGACTACACAGGGCACAGAGTAGAGACTTCAGAAGGATCCCACCTCACCAGTGCAGCCGAACTCTCCTCAGAGGAACATGGTGAGGAGAGAAATAGTGGATATAAAAAAAGAACCATGTTTATCTTCTGGAGATGAAAAATACAGTATTCTGAGATGAAAATTCCAGAGGGTGGGAGGGAAAGGAGATTAGACATGTGAAAGAAGAGGTTTGAACATGAAGACAGAAACAGAATATTCCAAAATTAACTATGGAAAGAAAAGAGACTGAAACTGGGAAACTGAAGAGTTTCAGTGAAGCATTAAGACAATGTCAAGCAATGTAATTACATGTAGTATTTGAAGTCCTGAAAGGGAAGTGAGCGTGGTGGTAAGTATGAAAAAAAAAAAATGAATAAAGACAAAAAAAAATTCCAAATATATACCCAGTGAAAACACCTTCAAAAAGGTATTTTCAATGTAGGATGCTGATACAATGGGCTATCTGTATGGAAAAACACGAACTCTGACCCTTACCTCAGACAATACACAACAATTAACTTGCATAGATCATAGAAACAAATCTAAAAGCTAAATCTATACAACTTCTGTAAGAAAACACAGAAGAAATATTTGTGTAAAAGTTTCTTAGGACAAAGCACAAGATGCAGATTGAGAGGAAATTATAAATATGTATAGGATATACATATATGTGTGTATATATCTGATGTATAATATATATAGCTATATAGATGTACATTTGTGTGTACATACATATATATAATTCAACTCAGTAATTAGACACTCTACTTTAAAATGGGCAAAAGATTTGAATTTGACCATATACTTCACAAAAGAAGTTATATCGAAGGCCAATAAACAGATGAAAAGATGCTCAGCATAACTGATCATGACAGAAATGCAAATTAAAGCCCAATGAGATACTATTACACAAACACTTGGCTAAAATAAAAAAGGTAAAAGGATGTGAAACAAATAGAACTCATATGTTGCTAGTAAGAACATAAAGTGGAGAACTACTTTTGGAAAATAGTTTGAAAGTTTATATGGTCCAGCAATTTCAGTCCCAGAACTTTATCCAGGAGAAATAACATATGTCTACACAAAGACTAGGACACAACTGTTTAGAAGCTTTATTTACAAGTGGCAGAGTGGAAGGAACCTGTATGTTCAGTAGGTGAATGGGTAAGTGAGCTCTGATACAGTCATACTGTGGAATACAACTCAGCAGCAACACGGAGGAGTCTCCAAAACATTATACAGAACAGAATTAGCAGACAAAACAGCACATACTGCATGATTCTATTTACACGAGAGTCTAAAAAAGACAAATCTAATCTGGGTTGCCAGGGGCCAGGAGTGGGAACTGTTGACTGGCAAGGGCACAGAGAAATCTTTTAGGGTGGTGGAATTCATCTGTATCTTGATTTTGATGGTACTTAGGGAAGTGTATATGTTTGTCAAAACTCAATGACCTGTACACTTAAAATAGGTGTATTTGTTATAGGAAATTATGCCTCAATAAAATTGATTTAAAAGAATGGAAAAATTTTTTAAACCTAACACAGAAACCTCGAGATGTACTAAATTAGACATAGATCGGGCAGAGCTGAAAGATGATTAGCTTATAGATACATATAACATAGGAAATGAAATGTAGCAGGTGATAAACAGATTAAAAATTCAAGAGTTTAAAAGAAATGAACATGATGGGAAGGTCAGGTGTTTTTCAGAAGGGAAGTGTCAGAGAAAAAGGCAATTTTGGGAAAGAGGCAATGCTCAAAAAAGTCACAGTCGATAATTCTGCAGAATTGTCGAAAGATAACAAGTTATCTCATCTGGAAAATAAAACAAATCCTAGTCAGGTGTAATAAAAAGAAATGCACATCTACACTTATCGTAACAAAATTGCAAAACTCCAAAGAATAAGGACAGACATGCACTGAAGACCAATATTAGACTGTCAACAAATTTGTCAGTATCAGTAGTAATTTCTTTATTGTACTGAGAGATATAATAAGGATTAACTTAGATTTTCAAACCTAGCAAAAACATTTTCTAGAGTGTATGTGAAGTGAAGACATTTCAAAGGCTTAAAAAAACTTTCAAAGGTTAAATGAAGGAGGAAAATAACTCCAGTATGGAGGTATGAGTTTCAGGAGAGAATAGTGAGCCAAGAAATTGATAAAGGTATGGGTGAATATATGAACAAATACTGCCAATATAAAACACATGATATTTAAGTTATGGGGAGGGGATTAAAAAACAAGGCAGGTTTGATGACTTAAATTAGTTCTACATTTTTGCAAGTACAGTGTCTCTTGTCAGTCAAAAATAACCAGGCACATGACGAGAGAAGGAAATGTGAACAAAAATGAGCCAAAACAAAAGACAACAGAAACAGCTGCAGGAGTTATCCAATAACCTGAGTTATTACACATGGACTTGAAGATAACTGTTGAAGGCATACATAAAAAATGACATTGACAATGTCAGCACAGAACTGGAAACTATAAGCCAAATGCAAATTCTAAAACTGAAATTGTAACTGCAGTCCAGACTCAGTGGATGAAACAGTTCCACAGCAATTCAGACATACCTGAATGGAGAATTAATGAACTAGAATCTTTTCTGTAAAGGGCCATATAGCAAATATTTTGTTTTGTGGGCTGTGTGGTCTCTGTTCAACCCTGTTGTTGAACTGTGGAAGCAGCCATAGACAATACATAAATGGCTGTGTTCTTATAAACCTTTTTTTTTACAATAACAAGTGATCTGGATTTGGCCTGTAGGCTTTGTTGGCTGACCTCTGAACTGGAAGCTAGGGTAGAAGAAAACACCAAAATACAGCATGAAGAGTCAGGGATGAGCAGTGCAGAAGAGAGGAAGCTTTTCCAAAGAAATGTTTTCTCCAGTTCTTTTTTTATTCATTTTGATGAATAAAATTAATCTTGATGTTTTGGCCAGAAGGATTATGAGAAAAGAAATAGTTGTCTTTCCATTTTTAGACCGTGCATGGGATTTTGGAGAAGAACAAATTTTGCAAAGATATGACAGTAAATTATGATTCAAGACTTCGAGAAAGGGTAAGTAACTTACTTACTGTTCTTTACCACCAACTATCATCAAACCACCTCAGTTTATCACGTGGCTAAAAATTAAATATATTCCTGCTAGGGATGTGGAATCAGCTAACACATGCTAAGAATCTACTATGGGACAGTCACTGTTATAGACTTGTAGATAGTATCTCATTTACTTATTAGAATATAAGATAGGCATCTTAAATTACAAAATCAAGGTCTGCTCGTAAGAACTTTAGTACGGAAGATTTTGAAGTAAAAGTGAAAAGTTCTCTCCTCAGCCTCCATAATCCTACTGGCCAGTGTAGGTGTGAATAGACTTTCTTGTGCCCATTTCATATTATCAGAAGTCAATCTTTCTCAAGCTGCTATTTGTCTAAAGCCTTACAGGAATTTTGGATCTGAGATTTGATCCCCAGTCTCCACCTAGAGCAGTATTTTTAGTGTGCTTTGTACTCGTGTCTTGTAAGCTGGTGAATGTCCCCACCAACCCAATGAGTGCTTCTGGACCTGGATAGAAGTTAACAGAGTGGTGAGGGCATCTTTACCGAATTGCCTTTCATAACCTGAGTGTGTTCCCTGGTATAATCCCAAAGAGATGCTAGCACTCAAGCATAAAAACTGCCTGGAAAGGCTCACTCTGTGCCTGAGAATCAACGCTTGGATGACAAAAATGCTCCGAGTTGGGTGGAAAGCTGCACAGGGCCTGTCACGCGGGATAAAATACTATTGCCACCCGGGCCATCTCTTCCCTATGAGGGTGTCAGCCTCTTCTGTGGTTTCAGTTAATGGGCTTAGGATTTCCAAATACGCAGTTTTAGCCTGGGCCTCTCCCCTGAGCGCACACTCACACATCCGAGTGCCCACTGTTCGTTTCTGTCTGCGTGCCCTGCAGCTACTTCCAGCTAGCAGACTGCAGTCCACTCGGCCCAGCTCCGGCCTGCCCAGTTGCTCAAGGCACTGGCCCTTGACTGTACTCTCCCCAACCCTGCACAGCCTCTCAGCGTCTTGTCAGTTCTGCCTCTGAGTAGTTCTGGAATCCTTCATTTCTCTGCGAGCCCACTGCTGCCATCCTGTTGCGGTTCAGTGCCACCTGTCACCTGGATCACTGGAACAGTGGTTTTCTCCTGTTTTCAGTTTTGCTCCCCCTTTTCCAAACACATCTCTAGACTGCAACCAGATCTTTGGGAAATTTGGTTGCTGTGCCTCTGTACGAAGCAGTTCATTAATTGTCTTTTATTTTCAAGCGGTTGTCCAGGCTCTCCCCTGCCCCTCAGCACACCGAGTCTGACGCTGCCCCCCTCTGCCTCCTTCCTCTTCCCTGTGCTGCGGCCCCCGCTGTGATATCAGTGCGCACTTTCATGGGCCTCGCTGCGCTCTGGCGCTGGGCCTGAGCGTGCAGGTGTGTTAATCTTCCCAGCAACCCAACATTGTGACGATTCAAAAACCTAATTTTTAAACCCTCATTTCACAGTTGCAGAAGCCAAGGCACACAGAGGTCCAATCCCTGCCCAGGCACAGAGCTTGTTTGTGGCAGAGCTGGATTCCATGCTCTGGACCTCTGGTCACTTGCATGGATCTTCTCCAAGTTGCCCAGACACGCGTGCTCCTTCCCGACTGAGTGAATCTACTCCACCCTGCCTGGAATAGCCACCCCCCAAACCCGGCCAGCTTCCCTCCCCCTGAGGCTTTGGCTTTCTGTGGTACCCTTGTCCAGACTGGCCACTTCTGCTGTGTGTGTGTCTGTGTCCAGGGTGCCCCTCCACCGCTGCCGCCCTGGGTGAGTGTGCGGCAGCCTCAGCCAGGCTGGGAGCCATGGGTCGTCTGATGCCTTCCTCGCCGCTCCGGCTTCACCGCCTGGCATACTGCAGCATAGCAGTTGGGTAGTTAACGAATGGATTTTTTCACTCTTGAAAAAACAAAGCAAGTGATGATTTTTAATGTCCTTGTGATAGAGGTTCTCTAGATATAGTTGAGGATGTCAGAATTTGGACTTGGGGATTGGAAGAGCCCCTGGCAGACGTGCATATACTCTTACAAAAAATGTTTTACTCTTGGACCTCTGTCTGCTGGGTGGTGTTGGAATCTTTTGACATCCTCAGTGCCAACCAAAAATAATAATTTATCTCTAAATATTTTATTATGCAGTAAGACCATATCCTTGTAGAGAATTAAAAGTAAGAACAGTTTGGGAAAACGTTAAAATTTCCATCATGCACACACTGAATATTTGATATGTGTGCTCTTGACTTTTTTCTTGTTTGTCAGTCTGTCTGTATCTCTCTGTGTATGTATTTTTTTAAAAGTAATTCTACTCTGTGTATAGTTTTTTTAACCACCTCTTCTCACTATATTTTTCATGCCCATAAATGCAGGTCAGTATAACCACCTAATTAGTGACTGTATTATGGATACATAATTATGACTAATCTGTGGATATTGCATAATTTATTTAACCAAGCTACTCCTGGTGGGCATCTAGTTTGTGACTAGATTGTCCACTGATGTGAATATTAAAATAAATATATTTGAACACATATCTCATACCATTCCTCAAAATGGAATTGCTGAACATGTACTTTTAAAAAATCTCATTCCATTCGTTCACCATGTAAGAACTTGTTCGTTATGCTTCAGAAGATTGGAGACTGACGAGAATTAGGCTTGAGATGGATTAATGATTGTACATTGAGCGTTGACCCCCCTATACTGAATTTTATTGTTGTTAACAACCATTTGATCAATAAATATGAGAGATGCCCTCTCAAAAAAAAAAAAAAAATCTCATTCCAGAAAAGCTGTGCCAGCTTACACTCCCACGAATGATCTGCAAGCATGTTTTTCCCATGTCACACTAGCTGTTAGTAGTCTCTTTGGTCTTTCAATTTAATAACTTCAATTTAATAATAAGGTGCCGGTTTAATTTTCACATTACGGATTCCTAATGAAGTAGATTTCCTATGCTTCTTAGCCATTGGTATTTCTTTTGTGACTTGTGTGCCCTTTGCTAAGGCTCAATCTCTGTAAGTCTGAAAAGCTAATGAGCTTTGAAGCCACATAGATCTGGGTTTGAATTTTAAGTTTGCTAATGATTGGCTTTGAGAGTATAAGCCAGTTGCTTACCCTCTCTGAAACTTAGTTTTCCACTTTTAAATATGGAGATGCAAATACCAGTCTCAGAATGCCCTTTCTAGGATCAAATGGGATAAATTGTGTGAGGCACACCTGGTGCTTTGCATATATTAGTTTCTAGCCCTGGAATCTGTGCAGATCCTTATATTTGTCCAGTAAAGCTCCACCATCTACATAAGTTAGCTTGAGTAAGTTATTCCATACAGCCTGCCTGGACACAGTGTACAACTCCAGCTGCATTTTCTAGGGTTCATGGCACTCTACTGAGTATTATCCCCATTGTAGGTTCAGAGGCAACAGAATAAAGTAAGTGGAAGGAGACCAAACTTCTTAGGATGATTGTTCCAAGTTTGCCATAAACGTGTACTTATTGTCATTTTGCCACTTCATTTGAGGCCCTTTTGTCTGTTGGACCATTGCAGAAACATGGGGTCGCAGAAGGCAGGGTGCTGAGTGAGCTGAGGGCAATGGCCAGGGCGGCTGGGGAAGAGTGCCCTGCGTTCACACCACCCGGAGGAGAGACTCTGGACCAGGTACGCAGCCCTGGGGCAGGTCACCCTGCTCCAGCCTTGCCAGTGTCTGGTAGCCGCAGACGGACTCGGCCCATCAGTAAGATGTCTCCAGAGCTTAGCCCATCATTTGGAAGTCGTTTGGTTCACAAAACCACTGTGTATGGTATTGTTTAATTTCTCTTTTTTTAAGCTTTCCTTTCTCATTTACCGCTAAGTTCAGTCACTACTGATAATGGATTTAAGGGGATGTGTCGGCATATGGTGCTATTCAGAAAACTGTGAATGTGGAGCAGTAGCTTTGCAGTGGCCGGTTCAGGAAAGCAGGGGAGGAGCCGTTCCAGGAGACTGGTGGGTAGGACGCTTCAGGGGGCAAAGCAATTCAAGACTCCGGGCTTTAAGCTGCTGCTGCTGCTGCTTAAGTGGCGGGTGGCACCACTGTGCTCCCATTCCTCTGGTGTGTTCTGCTTCCGAGTTCTTCGTTGGTGATTTCCTCCCCATTCTTTCTGTTCATAATTTTTGTGTAAAGCCCTTCTATAATTTAACAAGGAAAAGACTTTTATCCTTGTCCTAACGGAGGTGCCGGATGTCGCTTCCTGGTTAACACTATCTTATGGGCTTCTGTTTACATGTGATCTCCCTAGACTGTGCGTGTAAGGGATCAGGTACTGCATCTCGCTTGTCTTTGTCCCCCTGTGCTTCCCTATTTCCAGAGATATGATTGGGCTCATTAATATCTGTGAAACTACTGATTGAATGAAAGGAATCGAGTGTCATCTGCTTACATAGTACTTAGGTTGACATAGAAAAACCCCGTTAGTTCTGCTTTACATGTGTGTTTTAAGAGGACCATTAAGGTCACTTTATTCACTTTTTATTTCTTTTCCTGTAGGTGAAAATGCGTGGAAAAGAATTTTTTGATAGTCTCTGTCAGCTGATCCTGAAAGAAGCAGGCCAAAAAGAACAGTTTTCCCAGGGAGCTCCAAGCAGCCGTCTGGAAACTTCTTTGGCAGAGATATTTCCTGTAGGGAAAAACTGTGCCTCCGAATTTAATTTAGACAGCAGAGCTCCAGGATTAGCAGCCAGTGTCTTAGTTGTGAGTCACGGCGCGTACATGAGAAGCCTGTTTGCTTATTTCCTGACTGACCTTAAGTGTTCCTTACCAGCCACTCTGAGCAAATCTGAACTTGTGTCAGTCAGTCCCAACACAGGGATTAGTGTCTTTATCATAAACTGTGAGAAGGGACGAGAAGTCACACCAACAATCCAGTGTGTTTGTATGAACATACAGGACCATCTAAGTAGAGTGACTGAAACTCCCTAATTTGAAATCTGCATCCAAATCTTACAGGTTTGAACCTCTGAGGTGGTAGCACCTGTGGCTTTATTTCCATCCTCTGCTAATGCTGATTTGGAAACAGTTAAAAAGCTGACTATAATCGCAGGTCATAAAACTCAAAAGGAATTGTGGTCCCATAAAGCACTAATGGAAAATCATTTAGAATTGACTTCTTGTCCAAATATAGCTGGCATTTCCAGAGTAATTTTACCACCCTGCTCAGTTATATCCCTGGACTATAAATGGATGATCACAGAGTACTGCAAATTGAGGGATTAATAACTATGTTACTTCTTTTAAAAAAAAAGTTGATATTTTTCTTTAATATCTGGACAATCTAGCCTGTTTTATTGGCTATTGGTAAGAATACTGTGTTTTTTACTGTCTCCTTCAGTGCTTGGAAGAAGGAACTATATATAATTGTTACTGTATATTTATAATCATAACATGTTCTATTTAAGAAGTCTCTTAAATGAAAATTTCTTACCATCCTAGGTTTATTAGAAGCAAAATGACACTAAAACGTCTAATGTAGAGATTAACAGTTAAAATTTTTTGCCCTAGAGGCTTTGAAATGTGGATGAATGTCGATTATGATTGTGGAATGATCTGGTGAGGAAGGATTTAAAGCATCATTTGGTTACAAAACATTGAAAGAAGGAATCTCTGAGCAGAAGATAGAAGAGCAGCTCTTTTGCCATAGGCTGAAGAATTTAGCTGTGGAAGACTCTAAGGGAATTAAAAAATTACTAGTGTACCACACGTAGCCTCAGAGTGAATGAGGGCGCTCCATGGGAAAGCAGTGCTTGGCCAACCACAGCAGAGGTTTTCTGGTGGAAGGTGTAGATGCCTCCTTTTTCCACCAGGTGGCACTGGAGGAAAGGGATTTTTGTTAACCGAGTGATGTCCGTAAAATTGATCCTTCAAAAATCCTCATCTAAATGAAGACAGTGTTCACACGTAGTTTGCTTTTATATCATGTTGGTGAATGCTGTATCAGTTTGTAATATTTGTAATTAAGTTTGTCAGTTAAGGCTAAAATCATGTATAGTCTAAATTCATGCTGAATTTAAGTCACATAGAAAGTTCAGTATCATACTGTTCTCCCTGCCCAGCTCTACCAGTTTCCCTACCAGGATGGGAACAAAGCCCGTGGCTGAGTCCTAGAGGAAGTACACTGCAAATGAAAACTTGAAAAAATAACCAAAAAGGACAAATAATAGTAATATTAATTCTTATCACCCAGAAATGATAGCTCCACTCTTATTTTTTTAAGAAGTAACACAAGCGATGTAAGCGAGGTTCCCTCAATCAGCTCAGCCCTCCCTTCGCGTTTATGTAGCGCAGCCACCACAGAGGGTCTGTGTACACATTCACCATTCTGTACTTTTTCACCTGTGGTCATAAGGAAATGGTTTGTTTTGGTGTTTTTATAATGTACATAAATATCATCAAGCTATCTGTATTCTTTATTTTCATCTTGGAGCTCTGTGCTGATATGTATAGATCGAGTTACTATAACCTCTGTATTCTACTGAATAAATAAAGCACATTTTGTTTATTAGCAGACACTTAGGTATATTCGGTGTTTCCCTATAGAAACAATGTTCAGGCAACAGCGTATTGCCTCCCTCTCCCTGCCGTGTCATAAAAAATGTGCATCTCCAGTTTGAGAAGAATCGAATCGCTCTTCCGAATAGCTCTGTTCACGTAGGCAATTTACCACCTCTCATCATCACAGGAGGAACTGCAAGAAGAAAATAAATACACCAATGACTTGCATGGCCGGTTCCGTGTCTGTTGTGGCCTCTTCCAACAATGACAGCAGCTTGGCCGATGGATCCCTGAGGCACAGACTCAGTGTTGCTGAACAAGCTATCCATGTCCAGCCTACTAATCTGAAGGAACACAAACACTGAGTACTAGCTGATGGAGAGAGATACACTGTATTTAGGATGTGTTCTGCTAAACATTCTAATGTAACACTCCTCTCAAATGGTGAATCTTCTGTGAAGACACCATAAATTGAATTGCAGTTTTGAACAAAGGTCTGTGATTTCTCATCAGGCCACGGCTATACCCACCCGTTAGCCTCTACTAATACCAGAAGAGAATTCCTAATTGCCAGAGCACCACTGGACACCTTAGACTGGGTAGCCCGACCATGCTTCTCACCTCTCTGGCCACCACCCAAAAGCTTCCAGTCAAGAAGCTGCTGTGGAAGAATTGATGAGGCTGTCTAAATACAAAAAAAAGTTGTAGAGATCTTGGAAAGGTTATTTTGATCTCTGTCCCTCCGTTTTTTAACTTGTGGAACCCAAGTATCAGGTATTTGGAAGCCTTTCCTGTGAAAACCTCATATATGTGAAGAGTGGATGGCACTGTGCCAAATCCAGCCAAGAAGAGTCTGAGCAGAACACTTAGACAAAGGGGAACTAATTTCTCATCTTTCAACCCACTATGTCTCTATTTGCTGGGTGAGTCTGTTCTTGGGCCTCTCGTTTCATCAAAACTTGGAACAAAATCTCTTAAAATAAGGAAGAAAAATATTTTAAACAAAGGACGGACTGATTTCTCATATCTCAATCATGACATGCTTAAAGAGGAATCCAATGCTTTTATTTATTTTTTGTCCTCTATTCTTCCATTCAGCTCTTCTTAACCACTTCCACCAAAGTACTCCTAAGGACAAAGGGGAAAGAATATGTGTCCCTTCCCTTTACACCTAGTAAAAGTTAGGTATTAAAAAAAAAAACAAGACGTCTCTCTCCTCATTTCCTTTGAATTAAAATTTAGCACTGATGAATGTAGGCGACAAACCCTTTGATAATGTCAGCACTATCTGATTTTTGTCTCCAATAGAAATGATAAGTAATCATTACATCATTTTTCCAATGTTGCAGATGTCTCTAAACCTTCACCCCCATCACTGCTTCAAAATTATGGTAGTTTTTAAGTTCTGCTGTGAGATCTAGTCATGTGTGTCTCAGTGAATAAACAAGTATGTTATTATTGAAAAGTTTAACAATAAGAAAATGGGTCTAATATTTTTCACTAGCAGTATTTGAAAGTTCCTGTTTTCCACATCTTTGTCAACACTTTCAATACTGTCTGACGAGACTGTGTTAATTGGATGAATGAAAAGTATGATGTCATTATATTAACGAGCTTCTCGGTGACAATGAGTGGGCATTTCTTTGAAGTGTGTGTGACACTCAGGAGCCCTCACTGGAGGACCAGTGTTTATTCGTTGCCTGGTTTTCTCTCGGACTGCGTGGCATTTTCTTAGCTGCAGGAGTAACGTCATTAATACCTTCCTGTTTACTTGCCTTTTACATGTGTTTGACTGAGCATGTTTTTCATGTAAGTGCTTTCAATTTTAATTCAAATCAACATATCTTGTCCTTTATGGTTTATAAGGTTTATTTTGGTCTCTTTCAGAAACCTTCTCCACTGAGTTCATATAGTAATCTCCTTTTTTTCTTAGTCTTAGAGGATTTTTTGCATATTAAATCTTCACGTTACCTGGAGTTTATTTTTGTATGGTATAAGGCAAGAATTTAGTCCTTCATTTTTTTTTTCCATGTGGTGAAACAGTTACTCTAACACCATTACTAGGAGTCTGTCCTCTTCCAGCTGATATTTCTCCGGAGCTGCTAGAGTCTTTCTGTGGGTTGTGTTCTGCTTTAGTGAGCTTTGCATTCCCATAACATCATCATACTTAGTTACTGTAGCTTCACAGCTGAATATATTTAGGGGGAGTAACTCCTTTGGTACATCTTTATAGTTGTCTTGGCTATTTATGCACCTTATTCTTCCATAGAATTTTATAATCAATTTCCAGAAAAATTCCATTGCAAATTTATTTGGAATTGCATACATTTATTAACCTATCTGGTCATTCAATAAATATTCAAAAAATGGCATACACATGCTAGGCTCTTAGAAGAGCTACTAGAACTATTAATAAGAATGAATAGCAGTGAACAGCATCCCCAACCTTGTGAAACCTGTATTCCATCAGGAAAGACAGGTCATGATGTCACATGTCAGAATGTGGTCATTTCCAGAGAAAAACAGCACCGCTAGGACTTGAGAGGGGACAGAGGGTGCTGCTTTATTTATGGTCAGCACAGCAGGACTTTCTGAGCTGGCGTCCGAGTACCGAGGGTGTGAGCGAGCCCTGCTGACTGGGGGAGAAGAGCCACCCACATGGGTGGGTGAAGAGGGCAGAGGCCTGGGGAGGGATCACGCTTTGCATGTTTGCCCTGCACAAGGGGGTTGAGAGAGGGCTGGGGGAGGAGGGCCAAGCACTGAGGGCTGGGGAGGTGGCCCAGCCACGTGGCCGATGCTGTGGGGGCATTTGCTGATGGGCCCATATCTGACGGGACTGGGCGGTGGCCCAGGAAAGGTTTGTTGTCGGACCTGCTTTCAGGTGCCAGGCTGGCTGTTCTGTGGATGAGCCAGACGTCTAATGTCCCTGAGCTGCTGTTCCTTCATTACTAAATGGAGAATAACAAATAATGTGTGTGTGTTTGGTAACCTTTTGGTTTTGTTGTGTCAAACCTACAGAAGGGTGGCAAGAATAATACCAGAACTCCTGTGTCCCATTCCTCCGGATTCACCACTCGTTCCCATTTGCCCCATTTGCTTTTTGTCACTCACTGTGTGTGTGCCCGTGCGTGTGTTTGTTTTTCCCTAGACACATTTGAGAGTAAGGTGGAGACATCATGCCTTTTCCCACTCCAAAATTTCAATTTACATTTGAAGGCTGTTCTCGTATACAGCAAATTCAGTATTGATACAATCCATTATCCACAGACCATATTTAAATTTTGTCAGTTCTTCTAATCATGGCTAATTTTTCCCCAGTCCAGGACGGCGCACTGTGTTCACTTGTCACTTTTCATGCTCCTTTGATCTGGCTCCATTCTTGAGTCTCTTTGTCTTTCTGGATCCTGTTATTAAACAAAAGTAATATAGGCCAGTTATTGGGCTTTTCTGATACTACTTACTAGGTTCAGGTTATGCTTTTTTGTCAGAAGCACCCCAGAAAGGATGTGTCCTTAGGGAGTCAAGTCAGGAGTTAATGTGTTGTCCCATCAAGTCTGTCTGTCATAAAACTAACTCTTATTTGGTTCCTCATTAAGTTTTCACCCACTCTTCTAGCCTCCGTTGATCATTTGCTGACTCTATCTTTGTTTTTATATTTATTAATTGGTATTATTCAATAAGGAAGAACTTTCCCTTCTCCCCTATTTACTTATATCACTGTGAACTCAGGGCTTCTTATCCAATGACTTTAAATCTAGTACTATATTTATTTTATGCTCAAATTGTCCCAGATTTGTGCAGTGGAATTCCTTTCCAGCTATCTGTTCTGCTGTCATAGTCCCATCATTCTTTAAGCGCTCTACTTTCCGGTATTACAAGATGCTCCAGATGCATTCTTTCCTAACCCCGGTCCTGGGAATTAGGTTTTTCTCCAAAGTGCCTTGGTTCCTTCTAGTGGAAATGGCGTTTAGAACCCAGATCTGGGGGCCATTTGGGGGCCAGGTGTGCTCATTGCTAATCTAGGTCTTCCTTGTTATCACTGCATTGAATTTCAGTGTCTGAATATACCAGTTTATCTACCATACTGATGAGCACAGGGACAGCTTCCAGTTTGGAGCTATTATAGAAAAGCTGCTATGAGTACTTATGAATCCTTTGTTGACCTGTGCTTTGTCTTGTGTAACCATGTAAGGAGGTCAGCTGCTGGGTTATGGGGTAGATATGGATGGATGCTTAGTAGATAAGAAACTTGTACCATTTTATGCTCTTCAACAAAGTAAGAGAGTTCTGGGTGCTCCACATCCTTACTAACATTTACTGTTGTTAGTCTTTAATTTTAACCATCTTGGTGGGTGTGTAGTGGTATGTCACAGTGATTTTAATTTCTTGTTTCCTCGTTAACTAATGATGTGGAGCACTTTTTCACATACTTATTGGCTATATAGCTTCCTTTGTGAAATGTCTGTTTCTTTAAATTGTGTTTTATTTTTGAATTTAAGTTCTTTATAGATTTTCGATGTTCAGATTCTTTGTCAGCTATATGTATGTATGTGTACACTTGTATATTACTTATAATTTATTCCAGCCTATTTGCTATAAAATATTTTTCTTAGTGGTGTTTTTTTATTAGATGTTAATTTTCATAAGACCGACTTACCATTGTTTTTGTTTTATGGTTACTGTTTTCTAGATTCTAAGAAATCTCTTCTTTCCCTTGGTTATGGAGATGCTCTGTTTCTTCTAGATGCTTTATAATTTTACCTTTTATGTTTGGGTCTTTGATTCCTCTGGAATTAATTTTTGTGTATGGTGTGAGGAAAGGGGTTGAGGTTCATGGTCTTTCATATTAATATCCAGTTGTTCCAGCAGCATTTGTTGAAAGAAATTTCCTCTGCCCCCGAATTGTTTTGGTTCCTTTGTCAAAAATCAGTTGAATCACATAAGTGTGGGTCTATCTTTGAACCCTTCCTTTTGGTTTTCTTTTGCTGTTGCAGGTCCTTTCTATTTCCATATAATT